TATATTTTTTAGATCAGAAAAAAATAAGCTTTTCAAAAATACGTTTTTCAAAATTGTCATAGCTCCCTATAACTTCCATTTAAAAAAATAAAACTTTTTCTTATTACGGCTAAACAAATAACTGAAAAAAATTGTTATCAATTTAAAAAATATGTTCTCGCAAGTAACCGTTCCAAATTTTATAATTTTTGGTCAAATGGTTCAGAAGTTATTACAAAAAAAAACAAATTTCCATATCCAAATTTCGAGGGCTGTAAAATTCTTATCAGTAGAGATAGAACACGAGTTATTATTTAAACATTTAACTTAACATAATTTTTATAGGTTCAAATATTGCTTCATATTTATGAATAACCCTGTGTCTGTGATGTGATAAAGATTTTGATTGTAATTTTATTGTTTGTTATTGTCTTATTTATTTTTTTGTTTACTTTTTATTTTTTAAACAAAAAAACATTCTACCTACATTTAAAACAACAGATTAAATTTTTTAAAATGGTGATTGTTAATACTTTTAATGCACTGATAACTAAACAATTACCTTAATAGTTTGTTTTGACATAAACATACTAAAGTTTAGCAGTTATTTTTAAAACCATAAGTCATTATATGAAAAAAAATGCAGTGTACAGGGTGTTTTAGAACTCACGTCTCATAGAAAAAAATTAAATAAGATAAGATACCAGGAACATGAAAAAAATGTTTAAAAAATTTTCTGTCAAAAAATTTTGACATTAATTTTTTGACATTTGACATTTCTTTATGTCTATGTAATGTTACGGATGATCTTGTATATGTTTCTTCATAATTATGTGTAATTGTGTGTTCGTTTTTCGAGCTCCACCATGAGGATCTCACTTCTTATAAGAGTTACGAGGTCGTTTAAATTAGGACAAAGTTGCGCATTTTTAAGCTGAACAATAATCTAAAAGAAAATTTAAGGTGTCACTTTTAGTTTTTGATTTACTGGAAAAAAACGGAAATTTATTTTCGTTTTTATTTTTTTAAGCGAAAACTAAAAGACCTAGGCGTTTTTAACTAGGACGTTCTGAAGACACTTTCAAACTAAGAATCTAAATCTGTCATCGTATTTTCCAAGGCGCTCTTGATATCCGAGTTATAACATTCAACTTTGTATTTTCTTATGGACTCCATATTTCATTTCTGTATTTTTGAAAAGTCTTATTGTTTCCGATTACAACGAGGTATCACACGATATGATCAAATTTTACATGTTGATCAAAATTAAGAAGATTTTTGAAACAGCGTATAAACACTATGGGCAACTTGCATGTTCATGGAAGGAGGCAGGTTTATAAGGTTAAGGGCCTCCGGCAAAAAAGTCATAAACATAAAATAATGTTTATGCTACATAAAAAAAATATATTTTACTTTAAAACTTAAAGTGAAATATAAATTTTTATATTTAAAATTTAAAAAACAATATGTATACACTGTGTGTGTCAATTTTAAAACTTGCAATCGGCAATTTCTCTCAACTGAAAAAGTTATTAATAATCACTCAAAACCGTTTTGGGGGTTCCTAGGGGGAATTAAAATGTCATGATAAATGACACACCTCCACCCACCCTTGAATATAGTAAAAAAAAATTTAACGTCTTCGTTTTTGAATAATTGGAAAAATAACTTTACCAAATAGGCTGTTGTATGACATTTTTGAAAAGCGCTTGTTATGGGCTTTCCATATTGTAATTGTATCGCAAGTGCCATTTAAAATTTTTAAGATAAGGTGGCTGTATGTATACCATATGAATAAAAAGTATGGAATCAAAAGTTTTTTGCATAAACTAAAAATTTATTTGTTGGAAAAACTAATTGATGAATGATAAAGTACTATAAAGATGTGATGTTTTATTAAGAATAAATTATTTCGAAATTTTGTTTTGTTTTTGAGTTCTACAATTTTTTTATTGTTTTTTTAAATGGCAACTCATTGGATTCTGGATTTAGTGTACAGAGTGAAGTACTGCAAGTCCCTCTGGCACTGAGGCCTCTTACTCGGGCCTATTGTGCCACCCCTATTGTGCTATAGGCCCACCTAATTTTATTGCAAAAGCGAAAGGAAAGGAACAATCATGTAAACAAAAGAAGATAACGATTAAATTTAAATAACAAATAAAACTCATACCCACATACAAAGGTCACGAGACAACCCTCATAAAAATTTTCCCAGAAACTAAAATAGCATATCAGCGGCTTATCCGCCCAAAGGTTACAAGTCAGCCACCTCAATTAAGTGGTCACCCCAATAAATAGTCTGGAGCAAATTGATAAAGAAACAATCCCACACTATCTAGGGTCAAAGAATCGCCAAAATTTATAAACTGTCTGGGACATTGTTACCAAAATTAGAACAAAATTCTTGAGAACCCGGTGATAACGAGCGCATCCAGGATGTAAAAGTCAAAAGTGAAGCAGGATTCGACCAAGATAAGGACAAAATTCATTTAATTACAAACCCTAAAAATTATCTAAGTATTCCAAGTAATCACAATTATCAGAAAAAGGGGGCAAAAAGGGCAAAAAGGGCAACCTCGGCTCAAAACGGCAAGGGGGTCTTCAATACAAATACAACCCAAAACTCAATCAGGGGGAATTCAATCTTGATAGTGGTGTCGTGCTGTTCGATGGTGTGTGTGAAAAAGTGCCCTTCGTGCCAATTCCGACTAAGTGCTGCTTCCACTACCTGGCTGACCCAACTGTTTGCTGATTCCGCAATTTGCCCAGATGATGAACTGTGAGTTTTATTCAGTTTAATTTCTCCTTGCTCTGACGATGAGAACATTTATAATTTTGCGAAGTTTAACTTATGGTGGGTCTACCTTGTTGACAATTCGCGTTTCAATTTAAATACCCATAACGTATGATAAGAGTTATGAGAGAAACCAGGGAGTTTCGGGCCGTTGAATGACTGATCCTTTCCTGGAACTGTTTCTCCTCTTGAATTAGATTTTACTTCTAACTGTTCATTCACTTGATATTATATAATGTTAATTAAAAGCTTATTCAATAAGAATAAGTTGGTTGAACACTTTAACTTTTATTGGACGTAGCTAGTAAGAATTGAATTAAGTTAGTTGTTTGATACTAAACTATAACTTTATGTGGTTAATCAGTAGTTTCTTTAATTTAGTAAATATAAACTTTAACATGAACGGAATAGTAAAATGTTTATTCTTTTATTTTATTTGATTTTATTTGATTTTATTTGATGTGATTTGATTTGATTTGATTTGATTTGATTTGATTTGATTTGATTTTATTTGATGTGATTTGATTTGATTTGATTTGATTTGATTTGATTTGATTTGATTTGATTTGATTTGATTTGATTTGATTTGATTTGATTTGATTTGATTTGATT